GGGCAACAAAAATGATTGGGGGCTGGAGCACATGACTTTTGAGGAGAGGCTGAGGGAACTGGGCTTATTTAGTCTGCAGAAGAGAAGAATGATGGGGGATTTGATAGCTGCTTTCAACTACCTGAAAGGGGGTTCCAAAGAGGATGGATCTAGACTGTTCTCAGTGGTACCAGGTGACAGAACAAGGAGTAATGGTCTCAAGTTGCAGTGGGGGAGGATTAAGTTGGATATTAGGAAAAACTTTTTCACTAGGAGGGTGGTGAAGCACTGGAATGGGTTACCTAGGGAGGTGGTGGAATCTCCTTCTTTAGAGGTTTTTAAGGTCAAGCTTGACAAAGCCCTGGCTGGGATGATTTAGTTGGGGATTGGTCCTGCTTTGAGCATGGGGTTGGACTAGATGACCTCCTGATATTCTATGATTCTAATGTGTACCCTGGTAGGAAGTCTCAACAAGATGTCAAAGACTGAATGGATATGGAGACCTCTCTGGTTTCTTGTCTGTAGAGGTGGTTACTCTAGCTGTGGGAAGAGGCTCATTAGTGGAAGCCTCCCTTGCTGCTTCTTATGCTCTACCCATTCTGTGGATAAACAGAAGTCTCCTCAATTCTGCACCTTTCCCCAGCATTAAATTCACGGGCACATACTCTCTAGAAACAGGTGAGCTACCTGGCAACTAAATTGACCAAATCTCATTGACTCTCTTTTTCGTGTTAGTTGGCTGTAAACAAAAGGGGCCCTTTAAATTAAGTAGCTTGGCATCCAGCATAAAAGCAATTTGGATGGAAGATAAGGACAAAAAGGTAATCAAGCTGTCCTTAGATGTTGCTTCAGACCTGCAGGGCAACAGCAGAAAGTGGAGCTGGAGTGGCTTTTCAGATAAGAGACGCCAGTGAAAAGGGCCAAAAATACAAAGATAAACTAAATAAGTTAAGACTCAATATTGTCCCTTTGCAATATTGCTAACTGCCTTTAAGTTCCCAGCCATTGTCCTGGGTTAGCCTTGTCTCACTAATCTCAATGCCATATTTATCTCTAGAAATTGAGTCTGTGTCTTCAAATTAACAATGTTAGGTAAATAGAATACATATAAGTAATAGCTAGATTATTATTTGTTTTTATTTTCTTTCTTGATCTTCTGTTTATTTTATTGTCTATTCTGCTTGGGACTCAGTTGGATTCAATAAATCCATTCCTTCCTTCATTATTCGTCTGATGGCCATACTAGTTGGTCAGTGAGACTCTTGATCTCTCATTTTACAGGAAGATTTATCATAAAGATGCTCTAGATTAAATCATGTGAGGCCCTGTATGGGCCTGGATCCTGGAAGTCCTTTCAGGATAGGAAGCAGGGTTGTAGGGTTGTTGTGTTACTGTGACAATGTGAGTGGAGGCTATGCATGAGCAATAGTACATTTCAGGCTCCCTGCACTCTACTTCCTATAGGGTATGTCTACAGTGCACAATTGGTATAATTGTGGGTAGGTAGGCATACCCAAACTAGATTTAATCTTGATAGCATGGGTAATTATGGCAGTGAAGACTCGATGGCATTGCTGCACATATCTTCCCTCTGTTTGAGTGTGTGGAACTCTCCCTGGCATGGCTGGGCCTCTAAAGATGGGAGGACTTCTGCTAGGAAATCCCTGAAGGTGGAGCTAATGCTCCTAGAAAGCACCATTAACTCTCTTAGGAAGCATCTGTCCCTATAGAAGAAGTGGCAAATGGCAGTGCTGTGCCTAATCAATTCTTGCTGCCATGTGGGGGGAAGGCTCTGGAGGAGCTGGCTAACTCAAATGATGGTCTGGGATCTGTGCACTTACTGTTTACCCTCAAGTATCAGAGGGGTAGCCGTGTTAGTCTGAATCTGTAAAAAGCAACAGAGGGTCCTGTGGCACCTTTGAGACTAACAGAAGTATTGGGAGCATAA